GGGAATCTCTGCTGCTAAGAAAATTATGATTGGAATGGCTGGCCATGGGGTCTGTGCTTGGTAAGGAAACATGGGAGGTGGAATGCTAGATAAGCAGAGAAGGATAAAAAGAGGAAATACTGAGCAGGTCCAATAGAAGTCAGAAAATAGCATGGAATGTTATGGCTCAAAAGGGAATTTTTAAACAGACCTTTAAATTTTTAGGCTTCATGTTTAACTCTGATTTTAAAAAAAGTTGTTGAAACATGGCAGAGTCGCCAATGTGTTATCTCATTGAGGAAACCAGAAATGGTCTAAAATAAAATAGCTTCAAGGAGAGCTTTTGGGCAATCATTATGTGTGACAATAATGGAAACAAAGTAGAATATATTCACAGATTTCAGCTTTGATGGGAAATGACAAGTACAGATGGACACAAAAATAGTTGCTCTGCAGCTTTGAATCTAAACTTACTGTTTAGCTTTCTTTAAAAAAAATGTTTAGATCAAATATACCATTTTCAAAAATCTACAGAGCAGTGGAAGGGATATATTATAGAGCTGGAAAATGGCCTCAGAAACAATCAAGCCATTTATTACTAGAGTCAAAAGATTTGGGGAGATGTTTTTGGAAGAGTGTAAGCTTTCATTATGTTTCCTATCTGAAGTTTATATACAATTTTTGTTAAATGGATAACGACAGTATATGAGCAATCTGTGATATCAAACTTTCAGTGAAGATAAGTTAAGGAGAGATAAATATTTGAGTAACAACTTAGCCTCTGGACAGGTAGGGTGTGTTACTGCTTAAGTATCTTCTTACAGAATGCTAATATAAGAATTAATGTGCCAGAAGGGCACATTGATATCTCAACTTTTCTGTGTTTTTTTTTAAACCTGTAACTTCCTGTACAGTCAACATGATAGGACAAAAAGCATTTTGGACATGAATTTAATGCTGTAAACAGTGATTTAGTGGTCACTTGGAGTTTTAAAAACCTTTCTATTTGAACAAAATAAAGAAAAAAAGGAAGAATTCAGCCATGTTTGTCAGATATAAACAGAACAACCCCACATTCAGGTCATGCTGGATGTTCTGAACAGGAAGGAAGGAAAGTAGAGCATCATTTTAGTTCATGGACTAAAATCTCTATTTTCAATGGGGGATAGAAAAATTTAGTTCAATATTGATATTCAAAAAGTACAATTATAGAAGACTGCCATGGCTAACAGGGAATGATAATAAATCTACCAGATTTTAGCTCAGACAGGCTTTCATAGATCAGGACAGCAGTCCACTTTAATGTCATGGGATCCAGGCACAGGATCTGGCCTCCAGTCCTATCCTGTGGGTAGAAACTAGACAGCGCTATAGGGTCAAACTTCTCGAGGAAACTGTGAAGCAGGAACTAGGAAAAAAGGCAATGAATCAATGTAAGCACATACAGCAGATATTAAATAGAAAATTTACAAGATGATGCCTACATAAGTACCCAGTGAGTGATATCCACGAAAGGCAGACAAAACATTAGTGGTAAAGAAAGGATATTATTACAGATTATAATAATAGAAGAAGGATAGGTGGGAAGCAGAATTCACACATAGTAACAATCATGCATCTACCATGTGATATTCATTGTTGTAACATTTCACTCTATGCTATTTTGCAATACTTCTAACTCTGGAAGAAAGAAAACCATAATTCTCATCTACCTAAGGGGAAAAGGGAGGTGCAGAGATATTACTTTGTTCAAAGTCTTATAGTTGATGTGAAGAGAACTCTAATTTTGAATCTAGATCTATTGACAGGATCTATTAATGTTCCATGCTAAGAACAACCTCTGCCACATTCTTCCACCTACATTGCTTTTTTTGGCTTAGATTATTAGTGACACTGAATCTAAAAACTGTCAGTGCTAATTGCCGATGTCCAGGCTGGGCCAAGAATGTGAATTTTAACACAAGGACAGTTTCAACACAAACTCGTCCCTACCCACTTCAAGGCACCATTTCACTCCTATCTTAGCTAAACTGTGGAATAAGACATTTAACAAGCTACCTTATTAATTATTGTCTTAAAATGATTAAATTCTGTAAAAAAAATTGTTAGTTATGATTCCAATGAGTTTAGTTAATAAATACTTCAGCATTTGAAGATGCAACTTCCCGCATCATCTCAACATATACTAATATATTTCCCTATATATTAGTATATATTCATATATATATGAATATTTTCAGCTCAAGGCACAAAAAAGAAGCCCAGCTAGTCATAAATTCACAATAAAGAACCAGTTATTAGAGAATAGGGGAAAGTCTGAAAATGGAAACTAAAGATTGGTAACCACTGTCCAAAATTATCATCATTTTAGCTACTTGAGAAACTTGTATCTATACCTGTTACATCTCAGTATCCATGTAAAAACAGATATATATATGAACACATTTAAACTTTTACAATTTATGATTTATAAAAGTGCATACTAGTACATTTATACTGTCAAACATTTATATGAAACCGAAGAAACAAAAAAAAAATATTTGTTGCTTGTTTTGACTGAACTACACCAAAAATCCAAGAACATTGAAATAGTTGCTTGTCTTAAAGAGGACTAGAACTATCCTCTTTCCTGTGGGATATATAGTGTAATTGATATAACTCCAAATGCATCTTACATCTTTCTTTATATTTGACCTGTCAGTATTAACAGACTGTGAGCTTCTTTTATCTCCCATCAGGGTAGCGTATGTCCTATACCCAAAGCCTCATATGATGCTTACCAACATATAAATAGCTGGTATTTGAGACATATTGTTTGCATGTTTGTTATGAAAAGAGTCTTATTGTTCTATGCTATTATCACCACCGTATTTGATATGTACTCAAAAGATAGAATTCTGAGAAGTTTCATTTTTAAGTTTTAAACAAATGATTGATACAAACCTGTTCAATAAAGTTGAATGGATTATTGTGGCATTTTTCAACTGGAGGCGATTTTGTCACCTAGGAGATACGTGGCAACGTCTGGAGATACAATGGATTGCCACAGCTGAGGTGTATTACTATTAATAGAACCTAGTAGGCAGGAGCCAAGGATGCTGCCAAACACCCTACAATGTATTCCCCACGTAACAAAGAGTCATCCAGTCCAGAATGTCAATAATGCTGACATTAAGAAACCTTGGTTTATTATTAGACTCGGCTTTAAGACTCAAAAATGACTATTTAACTCCAGGAAAGTTACAGATATTGCTGATATGGATTTAGAATTCATTAGGAAGAAAATGAGACAACATATTCAGAGGAAAAAGTCTAAAATATAATTTTATATCTCTATCTGTACAAACACACATTTATTAGCATAATTTGAAAAAGGAACACATTTCATTGCAAACTACAGTATTTAATTTTTCTTACAGTTATTAACAAGTGAGTATGTTCAATTAAGACATAAAATTGAAGGGCAGGATCAAGAACTCTCAGATGCCTAGTGGAAGTTAGAACTTTGCAAATTTTGCAGACTTTAGTTCACGGGAACTGCTATAGATAGACATTTTTGTTAAGATACAGTGTTGTCTTTTAAATTGCTAAAAATCATTGAAAGGGTAACTATACAATCTGCTCTTCCATCAAGTGGATGGAACCTTTTTAGAGATAAACACAGATAACATAAAGAATAACAATATATCTCAAGGGAGTATTATAAGTCTATAATTTCTTCGAGGGGGCATGTAGTATCATAAATTGTAGGTGCAACTCCCTGAGATGAAATTACAGCTTTTATAATCCCCTGAGAGGATATTCTTTTGGTATAATGGAAACTGTATTAGTTTAGAAATACCCTGCTCCCTTGGCCCCAGAAAAGTACAATGGTCATTTGAAGATTGAAAAACACTAAGCAGGTGTCTGAAAAGTGAGTTGAACGGATCATAAGAATAATAGAAAAATTACATTCAAGTCATTTATGGTATCTACTAAATATAGTCTGGCATTCTTTCTAAAATAAGAGTTACAAAAGATACCTACATAATTATAGCCATTAGAAGAGATTTTACAGGTGTAAACATAAAGGAACTAAAATACATATTGTTAAATCTTAGCCAGCTTTGCATTAAATATATAAAAGACCTTTATAGCCATATGAGAAGACATATTCCTTACATTAAATGTAAGTAGCTAAATAAGCAAATGCACCAGATTAAAATTAAATATCATGGGGTGTTGAAACAGCATAAAGTTCACAAAATATCATAATTGTAGACATACTTAAATTTAGAGTTATAAGAACCCACAGACATATCGTTCAAATTGAAAACTCTTGAATTCTGCATGAATTACATAATGTGAAGGTTAACAGAGCCAAGTTTCCCCTCAATATGAGTAGTCCAATGGAAAGTTAAATTTGGTAAACATTTCAAGCAGTTAATAAATATAAACAGATAAATTAATTTTAAATAGGTAAGCATGATCGGTCATGTGTAATATTTTATCATTGTCAATTAGAGTTCTCATAATCCTAACATAATAATTGTTTATAGAACAATTTTACATTTTTTATAAAGCAAATATATAAACAAATAAATTGGTTTGATATTAGAACTGGTCTGAAAGAGAACAGAATCCCAATTAAGATTCTAAATTTATTTTAGTCAGTTTCCTCATAATTTTTAGGAAGAAATAAAACCACAAATTATGTTAAAAGATACATCATCTAAGGTGATTAATACACAGGCCCGTTTAACACCATATTGCCTTAAATGTGCAATTTTGAATGTTTCTCTAGAAGCCAAAACCATACAATAAATAACGTAAAAGCAATTTGACCATAGAAATTACTTTTTAAAAATTGCAATTATATAATATGTTTGCTGCTTGCAGCAAATAATATATACACACATACACAATATCTTAATGTGTGTGTGTATGTGTGTGAGTGTTTAAAGATACTTACTGGCCAGTGGTCAGAGTAAAGAAAAGAGGTTCCAGAATGTTTGAGTTACCAATAGGAAACAAAAACTCACCCTTATGTAGTTCAAATCTTGTCAGCAGCTTTATTTTCACAATAGCAGCTTAATTTGCTCCAAAAGCAAACTGAATCGCTTTCTGTAATAACATTTGAAGACATTTATTGCCTATTTAAAAATATCTGGACTATTGTCACCCTATTTGTTTTATTTATTGTTATATTCTTAGTTGCTACTAATTAATAAGCCATTGACCTGCAATTCATGGTATGACTTTTAAACATAATCAATATCATCAACATCAATAATAATGAAAGTTCAGGCATTTAAATCTTGCATAAAATAAAATATATTTTCTGCATTATTGAGGGATCATGTTAATAACATAAATATGCAAAATGAATAAACATAAAACCATTGCTTTAAATAACTTTAATTTAGAATCTTAATGAATTCTATTGCAAGTTCCAAATTTCTCTATGATCAAATGAAAATGAAAAATTAAAAATAGCCTCAACTGGTTGTCTCTAGATTTTTTTTTCTTTTTAGTAAAACAGAAAAATATAAATTTTCAAAATTTCATAGGTTTTCTAACTTTTTAGTTTTCAAATTATGTAAGCAAAACATAACATCTATTATTTAAAATTATTTCATAAAACAAAGATATTTTAACTTCCAAAATATGATAAGGGTAAAAAAGATGTAATCTCATAATGGAGACTGAGTACTCATATTCAGTACACATAGTGTTAGGAGAAACTCACTTTGCTGAATGAGGTACTATTACATTCAGCTACACGTAACAAAAAACACCATTCACATACATACACACACACACACACACACACACACACAAACGCAGAGTAGTAACTTTACGAAAATGCATTTTTACCTCGTGGAAAAAATGACTGGATGCCGTTAGTCCAGGTTTGGTGTGGAGAATTCACGTTCATCGCTTACTCAGTTTTCTTCTCCCTCTCTTCTCTCATTAAAGTACGACCTGAGACTGCAAAAAATGACAACTTGACATAAAATATCACATTTGCAGCTCATACAGCAGAAAGATTTAGAGAAGAGTGAGCCTGCTCTCATTGAAGGAGAGTTCTTGGAAGTCTCACATAACACTTCCACTATCACATCGTTGACTAGAATTTAGTCACATAGCCACATGTAGCCATATGATAAACTAAGAAATGTAATATTTATAGGTAGAATAGTGCCTAAATAAAACCTAGGATTCCTTACTAATGAATAAAGAGGAGATTTATGTTATGAATTGCTTTTTTCCATTTTGGAACTGATACAAACTTATCATCGAACAATACTGGACCAAGATGTTTTAGAAACTCTCACCTAAACACTATCCAATGAGTCTAATCTAAGCTCAAGAAGTCTTACATAGCAGGAACAATGTTGGCGCACAAGTAGGGAGACTCTGGGGGCTTTGAAATTATTACATAAAATGTTCTGCATCTCAGATTCCTTACTTGTAATGTGAAAACAGTATTTAATTCAACCAATTGGTTGTTCAAGAAATATATTTTGAGAGTTTATAGTGTGATATCTGCTTCCTAAAAGTTCTATATTGCAAACATCTCTATTTGTGTCCCAAAATAGAAGTCTAAATATTGTAGAACAAGGGATAATCAGTAGGTCAATAATCATTTCTTTATAAGTCTGAAAGTAAACAAAACATTTAATTTAATGTAGCTTCAGGAGAAGGGTGTAAGAACTCAGCATGAGCTCTTAAACTCTTAAATGGAAAAAAATATAAAAAAACATCTATTTGAAAGACAAAATTCCTCCCAATTAATTTTGAGATAGCTCAAAATTGCTTTGCCAACTTCAAACCTGAATTAAGCTTGTTCTGAGGAAAGATGCAGGTTCACCTTATTTTTATTTTAATTCAAATAGTTTTGTGGTTCTCAGCGCAAGTGTCATCACCTTTGTAGATTTTCTATGTTGGATTGCCAGTGTAGGTTGTATAAATTTCCTCTAAGGAATACTTTTTAAAAAGGAGTTTGGAATCATTTTGGCTTAAAGAATGAAAACTGAAAAAGAAAATGTGAAGCTCCATATTAACATAAACTCTCTGATCGTAATGACATCGATCATTTGAAATAAAGTCAATAAAGTTTAACATTTCAGTGTTGTTTTCCCTTGACAGTAATGATATTGTTTTAAATAATGCCATTTCATAAAGTAACATTACAGTGCTTTCAGATTTTAATTTCATTTACATAATTAACAATCATCTAGCCTAATACTCTGGATTAGTATTAATTTTCTGATTATTAGCTTTATCTTAAATTGTTCCATATTCAGGGAAGTAATAAAATCACTGCTTTAGTGTTGTGCTAGGTATTACCTTAGCTCTTAAAAAATGCACAATCCTATGGGTTTTTAATAATAATGTAATATTTTTATTTACATTATTTAAACATGTAAAATTATTTTTGATACTATATAGAAGTATTGAATAAATGACTTCTTTATGATACTGTAGGTAATTCCATAGTTATGTATTATTTTTATATAGTGATATATAAACTAAAATACTTGGGATTCATTTCATACATTCATTTTATTTTATATTATGGCACTTCTTAAGTACTTTGCGGTGCTTGAAAATAATAAGAATTAAAAGACTTTATGGGTATGTATCTAAGCTTTCATTCCATATTTTAGGTATAGTTCTGTGAAGGAAATTGCAAAATTTTAATAATTCATTCAAAAGTAAATGAGGTTTAGTTATTGTGTTTGTTTGTTCTTCTCTATATTTCTGCAAATACAAAGCTATAGTAAAAAAATTGATATCCAATCTTGAGTAAGGTTCTAACTGAGAGAATTTGGGCAATAATATTACCTCTGTACCTCCTAACTTTTGTTCATTTATAAAGTGATTAGAAATAGTAGAAATTCTTAAAAGTAATCTGAGAAACTTTTGCTTTTTGGAATATAAATAGGTATCATTTACTTATGTGTTTCATGGTGAAATAAATCTCAGAAATTTAGAGTTAAAGTTCAATTAGCTTTTTTTAATAAAGTAGGAAGTCTTAGAGTCTTTAATATATGCTGAATGAGAAATCTCTGAGATCAGGGTGTGATAGCCTGGAGGATTTTTCAAACATATTGTACTAGTTTCCTATGGCTGTTATAACAAAATATTATAGACTAGATTGCTTAAAACAAAAGAAACTTATTCTTCCACAGGTCTGGAGGCTAGAAGTCTAAAATCAAAGTGTTGGTAGGGCCATGCTCCTTCTAAACTCTCTTGGGAGCACCCTTCTTTGCTTTCTTCTAGCTTCTGGTAGCACCAGGTGCTCCATAACTGTGGCAGCACAACCCCAATCTCTGATTCATCTTTCCAAGACCATCTTCCCTCTGTGCCCGTGTCTTCACATGGCATTCTCCTCTCTCTATTTGTCTTTGTCCAAATTTATGACTATCAAATTGGTTTTTAACTGATCAACACTTACATGTACATATAATGACATTCATCCCATGTCAGACAGGTGGGAGGGGGAAGTGGGGATGGGTATATACACACCTAATGGGTGCAGTGTGCACTGTCTGGGAGATGGACACGCTTGAAGCTCTGACTCAGGTGGGGCAAAGGCAATATACGTAACCTAAATATTTGTACCTCCATAATATGTTAAAATAAAAATAAATAAATACATAAAATGTAAATGCGAACTCATCATATTAAAAAATAAATAAAATAAAATAAACAAATTTTGTTTCTCTCCATTTGTAAGGACACCAATCACATTAGAATAAGGATTATCCTAATGACCTCATTTTAGCTTGATTATATCTGTAAACACCCTATTTTCAAATAAGGACACATTCACAGGTAGCTGGGGTTAGGACTTCAACATAATTTTTAAAGGTACACAATTCAAACCATAGCATGTGTCCAATCATAAAACACTTATTTGCAAAGACTATACTGAAACCTATATCCCATTGATCAAAGTTTTAAAAGTCTTGGACTAAGTCAGTGCTTCTCAAAGTAGTTCCCAGACTCATGCCTATTCTTGAAATATTTTACCCATCCACAATTAGATGCTTGGAAATTGAGAGTGAGCATTTCATAAACTTATATTAAAATCTGGCAAATTATTTTAATTTAATTCTCCCTATTAGTATATAATTACCCTGGATATTTTGAGCATGTTAGGTTAATAAAAAGGTAGTATTTCTCTGGTTATGTAGTGGTTCTCAAGTAGCTCATGGCAGAAAACAAAGACACACAAGTGAGTAAACATTATGTATGTAAAGGGTTTTGGTTGATAAATATGCACATGGATAAAGGTTATTTTGCAGGATTCATTTTGTTTCCTACTAGAAAGAGAATATGAGCTCTCAACATTGCCTACATAATAAAAAGAAAAGACTGTGGAGAGTTGAACTTGTGGTGGTCTGGACCCAGATTAGGCTTTGAAAATCTTTATTCTTAGTCATTGCAAAAGAGGGTATAATAATGATAATAAAATATGATATAACAATCATCAATGTAGGTGATAAGGTTGTATTTAATTCTGGGAGGTATGAGGTAGTTATATGCTGACATCTTCAAGGAACAGCGTTCATAAACGAGTCTATAGAGAGTGACAGAAATAAAGACTGCTTGACAGAAAAAAAATAAGGAAACTTCTCTGATAGCTTTCTATTTTTATAGTTTCAGGTTTTGCTTAAGGCTTGTCTGAGTCCCTGCTCTTAAAGTCCATGAGACATGCCTCTATTAGAGTAATAAAACCACGTTTTTGCTTAAGGTGGTTTGTGTTATGGACAATCAAGGAAGCTTGACCAAAATAATATTTTCCATGTGTCACCTCAGTATCAAAACCCCCAATAAGGAATCATTTCCTACAGCAGGGTTTCTCAACATCAACATTATTGACACTTTGGGCTGGATAATTCTTTCTTGTGGGGAGCTATCTTATGCACCATAGGATGTTTAGCAGCATCTCTGGCCTTTACCTTCCAGGTGCCAGAAGCACCCCTGAGTTCTGACAATCAAAAAAGTCGCTGGATGTTGCCAGACTATCCACCCTTCAGTGGAGCAAAATTGCCCCTAGTAGAAAATCACCAGACTATAAGATAAACTTAATGCTACCAACAGTGGCCATGGGAGACTCCATTCACATCTCCCTCTGGCATTTTTTCCCTCAATTCATTAGGTTGCAAAGTTGGAGCTCCTTACTGGCTCATCAAAAGTCACAGAACCCCACAATACTGCCAGTTGCAAACCAGTTTTGCTGGCAATCTTCTCCATAGACATTCCTAGACCCCTCAAAACGATGAGTCCACAGACACTCTCTGGAGAATTCTTATACTGGATTCTCTGCGTTGTTTCTGGGCTCCATATGCTTCTCTGCTGTTGATTTCACATTGTTCACCATCAGGCTGTTAAAACTCCCATCCAATCAACACTTCCGTAGTGATGCACAGGCACATATACAAATTGTTCTTGTAACCGTGTACACTGCACTCCATACTCTCCAAGGCTATTAGAAAAGACTCTAGGTCTCTTACAGATACAGTGTGTTGTACAATTGTATGGATGGTCATTTGTATATTGCTATAACCAGACTATCTTATTCACCTTTGGCTCTGGCAGGATGGCTACAAAGTAGAGCAGGTTCTGAAATTCTCCAGCTTATGTGATAGAACATATTCATTAAAAGTTAAAGTTCCTGGGAAATAAGAGATGTGAAAGGAGAGCCATTCAGGGGAGATAGTCATCATCCCTGGCCTCAGCAAGCCTCATGCTGAAAGGGTGTCAGGACTACTTGGGATACTGTCTCTGGGACATCAACTAATTTATTTATTCAACAAATATCTGTTGGACATCTGCTATGTGATGGCATGTTAGGAATCGAAAATACAGAGAGCTGAAAAAATAAAAAAAGGCAAAGTCCTTGACCTCACAGAGTTTACATCCTTTACATAGAGTCATATATAGTTTGTCAGTATATAAATAAATAACATAACCCA